AAAAAAAAAAAAAAAAAAAAAAAAAAAAAAAAAAAAAACTAGCATTTCAGTTTATGATGAAAAGAACAGAAAAAGATGCAAGAAAATTTATGGCTGATTACTTTGAAATAAATCATCTCAATGGAAAAAGTGATGAAAAAAGTTGAAAATAAGTTTTTGGGTAGAAGAATGTATTTATTTATTTTTTTTGATTGTGAATGTATATGAGATAACATGTCATGATTATAGTTGAGGTGATATAATAATAAAAACAGTAAAATAATGATTGTAAATGATTGGCAATTAAATATGTGAATTAATACTGAATTTTGTTGGAAGATGGGTAGTAATGATTGCTCATAATTTTATTTTTTTTTAAATTGTGTTAATGAGAAAGAAAAAGTAGGAATAAATGAATATCAAACTTTTCGGGAAACATTTTGTAATCATAGTTTCAGTGAAAATTTATCAGGCGAGACAAAACTGAAAAAAAAAAAAAAAAAAAAAAAATTGAACTCAATCGCCCTGAAACCTTGGTCTACTCTACTCAAGCTTCTATAGACTTCTGCACAGTTCACCATTACTTTCTGGACTAATAAGGTATTCAAGGAGTTCAATCTGCAAGCATTTATTTTACTATAATACTATTTTCATTCTTTCCTGGGGGAAATATGCTTGAACTAATGGTAAAGCCATTTTATACAAAAGTCTGCCCTTTAAAAATGAAAATGTGTTTCAACTGTAGAACAATACATGTTCTTTGCAGACAAGAAATCTCTACACCTTAATCAGGGTTCCCAAAAAGATAAAAGTAGTCAATTTTCTAAACTTTTGTTTTCCAGACGCTGCACCTTACAAACTTTCTTACAAAAAATTCATGGAAAGTTGCAATCAACTTAAAGCAAAAGGTCAGCGCTCCTAGTTGCAACAGAAAAACCCCTTTCCTTATCTTCCCACCCAAATTCCAAAAAGAACAGAAATAGATAGAATATGCAGTAAAGGATTAGAGTTAAATTCATTTTTGCAAACATCATCACTAACAAGAATGACCAGTGCATTTTCAACCAAAGCAAATTAGTTCCATTGAGAACTTTATGAAACATTTGACGTAGAGCAAGCTTCAGCACCACTAACCTTCCCTTCTTCAATTTTGACAACCCCGGAATCAGTATTATGAAGTCCTTGCACTTTATCACCAACGCAGAGAATCCCAGAATAGATACGGCCAGTTAGAATTCGACCAACGTAATTATCTCTTTCCATCATAGAGACCTGAAAGGAGCTGTCAAACACTTTCACGAGGTTCCACTTTTCTAATAGGTGAAATTTTACAAGTCAAACTGATTTGCATAGTCCAAAACCCTATCTACCAATTAGAAACTTGCTAGGCTATGCAAATAGTGATGAATGCACCAGTCTTTTATCTGACACCAACAAATTGAGGAGCATAACAATAGGTTTATCCAAAGCACTATGCAGCTTAGGTTCTTAAACAACAGTCATAGATTAGGTTTGAGCATCGTTCTAATTTTTTAATATCAATACCTTGTACATAGAATACATCGAGGAGAGATTGTGGAAAATAAAGTGCTCTTGCATAATGCATGATGAGAGCAATTAAAGATAATCTTCATGTAACATGGATCATTCATCACAAAGCAAGTTTTCGCAAGGAAGTGCATTTGTAAATTCTGACAATTATACATACAGAATGACAGATATGAAGCAAAACGTAAATTTCCAGGACTAACCAGCATCTGAAAAGGTGCATCAAGGCTAGCAGTTGGGGGTGAAACATGTCTCACGATTGCATCAAGCAACTCAGACATATTCCTCTCGTCCTGAGGAGGACATTTTGTATATGTTGAAGAGGCCCACCCTTCCTTTGCAGAAGCATAAAGAACAGGAAATTCTAATTGTTCCTCTAAGAAAGATATAAAAATCAAGATTAGAACGAATGTGTATGAGAAAGCTTATAACGAATTCAGGTGATTGCATAAACCAAATTAGGCTAATGAAAATTAACACCAAGCACCTGTAGCGCCTAGATTAGCAAAAAGATCGAATACCAGGCTCTCAACTTCACTGCACCTTTCTTCGGTAACTACACATACAAACCCCGAATGGACAATTAAACACAGCATACACTTCCATGTCACAAAGAAAACAAAGAGATCAAGGTACTAGAAATTGAAAATTATTTAAAACACTTTCTAAATTAGAATGTCAAGTGTAATACCAAAATATTTTATATGTGGTTTCAACCTTCAGGACAAATAGAGAACAAGTTTTATTTCACAACCATACTTTAGGAGCATCAGATAATTATTTCAGCCAACTCTCAGGCTGATCAGGTACTTAATTTGATACTCTGTGGGTTTTTCCTCCCACTTTGTCATGGACTAGAAATCAACTCCGATAAATGTAGTCGGTTTGTGACATAATCAGATTTAGTTACACTGGAACTGGATTGCAGGTAAACACCATAGAAACAGCTGAAGTTTTGAATATCATGTTCTATCTATTCAACTTTGTTTTTCCAATGATCTTTTGGACAAATAGGTAGGCAGCTTATATTCTAATTACATAGACAATATATATCAAACAAGCAGATCTTTATGTCTAAGATAATGCATTGAGATAAACTACATGCTTTCATATTTTTTTTCTCACATCATAAGAATTGCTGGTTACTACACTATCATAAACTTAATTTACGGTCATACCTGAAGGTCGGTCGACTTTATTCAAAAGAAGTAGAGGACGCAGACCATATTTTAAGGCCTTTGCAAGAACAAACTTTGTCTGTGCCAGGGGACCTTCACCAGCATCAACAACTAAAATTGCTCCCTCAACCATGCCAACAACTCTTTCAACCTAACAAAAGAAAAATGATAAAAATGAACACATTCAATGTATTAATGACTTAAAAAGCAACAGCTAGGATATCATTGCAGTCCATTAATAGATTTTAGAAAATGATAATTTCATAAATTTCAGTTAAATTTCACAAGAAACAACGACTACTCCCATAAGGGAGAAGATTAAGCTAGAAGGTGAGCCTGCTTTCCTTGAAGCTGATATATATTTATGAACACAAAATTATTTTTAAACCAATTATAATTTTTATGAGCAATAATCTCAGATAAATCTGGTTCATTAAATAAAGTTTCCAATAATGAGATATGATATCAATGTCCATGAATTATGAGAACAAAGTTTAACCATATATAGAAGTAAACTGTCCTTCACTCAACTGTAGGGGCGGGGGCGGTCCGGGATTTGGCTTGTCCCGGTACCTGTCCCGCTTTTATGAACAGGTCCGGGAACAGTCGGGGACGAGACACCGTCCCATAACCAGAACAAAACAGGTCGGAGCGGGACAAAACGGGACAAACTAAGAACAATCAAATGTTTGTTTCAAGTAGAAAATTAAAAATGTGAAACAAGATCATCAAATAGAAAATATTTGGCAAATTACGTCAGCTTTTATTTCTTTTGTTACTTCACCTAAACCAAAACCCACAAATTCAATGTTTGTGTTTCTGCCAAGTGAAATTCTTAATGTGAAGAGTGAAGTGAAGTCTCGTACTCTCATTCTCTTCTCAGCTTTGACTTAGACACATATAGGTCAATCAATTAAATGCACATTAGGTTGTTTATTTGTTAAATTTTGCTTTTTAGGCCAATTCAGATTGTTTAGTTTGTACTTTTTATATTAGATATTTATAATGTTGAATGCCAAAATCACATAAAGAATGGAATAATAGTACTATAATACTAATATAAAATGTAATAACAGTGTATAATATATATGTATATATATATAATTTTTTGTACAAAGTAATTAAACGGAACGGTTCGTGACAAAAATATTGAAAACTGATACCCAGTTTAAAACGGTTTGGTACCGGGAAAGGTACAAAAAATAAAGAAAACCTTTTGGAACCTTATTTTTCGGAACGGAAGCATTTCTGTACGGGAAAATTCAGTTATTTTGCCACCCCTACTCTACTTTGATGAAGAATATTTGGATAGTTACAGATTCAAAGGTTACACAAGTACAGATTCATTTTATAATTGCTCCTTAACACGGCAACATGAGCAGAGTTAAAACAAAGATACAGATGGATAACTTGCTATCCATTTCCTGAGAATAATATCTTAACTAAGTGGCTCACATATGAGCTCAATAGATAAATTATGATAAAAGACCACCATAAAAGTAAATGCTCCAAAGACACTTGGTTAGCTTCATATTTCTTCAAACCCCTAACTGGATAGCTGAAATTAGAACTCCTTTAAGAAAGATAAAATTAGAGATATCTTAATTATATTAAATCTCTATCTTTGTAAGAGCTTACTTCACCACCAAAATCAGCATGTCCAGGAGTGTCAACCATGTTTAGCTCATTTCCTTTCCATGAAATAGATGTGACCTGCAATTTATGAATAGAAATACGAATGAGATGCTCTAAACGCATTCTGACACCAATTAAAGACGCATTTCACGTTATAATTCCATAATACTTGATTATTTACATAACTACATGTTGACAACAAGAAGCAATGTCACCTGTCAAATAAACAACGGACTTCAGAAAAAAGTTCAAAATTTTGACCTCAAGAGCTTTTACCCATTATGTTAATATTCTTATTGCAACATAAAGTCAAGAGGAACCAATGCTTCAACTAGCAACGGTGATTTAGGAATTCTCAACTGAAAGACAAATTCTGGTTTGATAATGAACACAAAAGCAGACACAGCAGTCAATTCAGTTTCACCATCATACGCACTGGCTCAGAAGCATATACCTCTTACATAATCTCATCAATCTACTACCAACCAAATAGTAGCAGCCGTAAGTCCGGCCTTTTTATCATCACTGCCAGTGGAAATCACTCCAATATCAAGAATGAAAGGGCATACATAAAACTCACTTCAGAGCAGATTGATCTATGACTTCTGATTGCCTACTTATATCTGTAAGAAAGGTAAATGAACATACAGGAGAAGGAATGTGGAACATCATTAACTCTACTATCAGACAGTCTTACGAAATTTTACATGCCACGGTCATACTATTTAAGCAAATATTCATACATTCAGTGTTAAAGGTCATACTTCAAAAATAAAATCAGTGTTGAAGGTCATACTTCAAAAATAAAATAGTCTACATTATATGACACAAGTTTAGAGAAGTATGAAATTAGCACGCACAGTAAATACGAGACCATCTTGTAGTAGTTTTATGGTGTACAATAAGATAACAGATGCAAAAAATCATCTTTAGAACAAAAAATACAACCCATTAAGCTACAAAATAAAGGAATCTTTAATAACTTTGATCGCCCACGTTTTGGTAGTCTAGAGAAAATGAAGCAGAAAATGGCATACAATCGAAAAAAAGGCGAATTTTCAAAACCTTGGAGGCTATGGTGATTCCACGCTCGCGCTCAAGGCTGATCGAATCCAAGGCCCGCTCGTGTGGAATATCGGCGCCACACTGGCGCAAGAGCCTATCCATGAGAGTGGTTTTTCCATGGTCGACGTGAGCTATTACAGCGACATTCCGGAGCCTACTGGGATCCACAGCGGCTCCAGCATCCGCAGTCGACGGTGACGAGGCAGCGGCGGTGGTCGAGGAGAAGGACCTCGTGAAGCCCGTTACGCGTGAAAATGAAAGGGGTCTCAGATAATTAGAGGAAGAGGAAGAAGATTTGGTTTTTCTAGCGGCGTTGGACCACAGAGAGCGGAGGAGTGGAGCAACCATTTCTAAGTACGAAGAAATGGCTTTGCCCAAAATCTGGATGCCAAGCCGCTGCTACTATAGGGTTTAAGGAAAAATAAAATAAAACCCTTCTCATGTTCTCGCACCTATACGTCAGCCGCCGTCTAGACCTAGCGGCTCGTCCATTTACCCTTCTCACTTGTTGGGTTTTATAAGAAGCGTAGTACATTTAAATCTATCAAAATAAATTCTCAGGCAACGGAAATTACAGTTAGGATCAGGACTTACCATTTAAAAAAAATTGTCCACCCGGAGACGACTTACACTACGTGGTTGGACGAACGGTTCGTTGCTCCTCATCAAGTCTTTGGGTCGCCTCGTCGGGATCATCGAATTCGTCGCTGGTGTGCGCATCACTTTGTTGCTCACGTGTGGCTCGCATCGTGTGTGTTGCGTGTGTCTAGCTGCGGCTGGCATCGTTCGCGTGCGTGCGTCGGGCATTGGGGCGCTGCGCTGCGATTGCGACTGCGGCGGTGATGGAGATGTGGATTTCGAAGCCCGAGCACGCCGAGAGCCGATGGCGGATACGATCCGAGAAGGCTGAGAAAAGGGCCAAAAACACGCATACATGGCCAAAAAGACCTACCAGAGCTCGAATAAGAGGACGCACGCCCGAAGATCACGCATCGTGCGCGCGAGACGTGAGGTTCAAACACGGACGTGGCATGACTTGAACGTCAAAATTGACAAGAAGCTTCTATTGGAATTAACTTTAGGCGAAATACATCGCTTTAATCCAGGAGCTTTCATATTGAATAATTGATAATCGATACTGAATAGCGGAAGCGTACCTGAATCCGTAGGTGATTGATTTGGGGATTTGGCCTTCTAGGTCTATACGATATGTACCTTTCAGAGAACCCTTTAGCTTTTCTCCGTGACCTCTCTGTCGATGGGATGCAGAAGAGATCATCTTTCGATTTCGTATGACCAAGGGACCACAACCCTTATGTACATTAAGTTACATTGGGCATCTCTATTTTAGCCCATCATTAAAATAGAAGACCCATTAGTTTCTACACATTAAAGGCCCACACCCTATTGATACTTTAAAACTCAAAAACTTTAAACCTTAATTGATCACTTTTATTTAGGCTTCTTTATTTGACAACCACAATACAATAATTATTTCACATATTAGCCCAATGTTGGATTAAGGATCCAACAGCTTCTAGAAGATTCAAATCCAAGATCCTAGAAGATACTTATTAATTAGATTAATTATTATTTAGATTAATTAATTTAATTAATTAATTGTTAGTTTAATAATTATTTAGTTAGTGGCGTGAGTTAGTAGTTAGTATTGTAATGCAAATTTTCGTATTATTGAATTAATAAACACGAGAAATTCGTACAAATAGATTTTCAACGGATCAAAAGAAATATAGTGGATTACAAATCTCTATTATTCCTCGGAGTAATTTCTTCAAGATTGATCTTCAAATGGACTTGAGACTTTTGGAGACGAATCTTCAGTTTGATCTTCGCCGTCTTGAATATGAATTTAATTAACGTTTTTTCGAGGGTTTGACAGCTTGATCTCGAATCGAACGTTGTGATTTCCCATGAACGTAAAGAACACAAGTCCTTGGTCTTCGTCGCAAAGTTGTTTTTTATCTTCTCTACGCCAGTCTTGACTTTAATATCGTAATTCGGAGGCTTGATAGCTTGTTTCCGGATTGAACGTTGGTTTTGGGCTTGAACGCACTTGAAGCTTCCTTCAGATCTTCAAGAACGCCTTTGGATCTTCAAGAACACTTGAATTTAATAACGCAATTCGGAGGCTTGGCAGCTTGTTTCCGGATTGAACGTCGGTTTTGGACTTGAACGCGCTTGAATCTTCCTTCGGATCTTCAAGAACGCCTTTAGATCTTCAAGAACACTTGAATTTTGTGGAGAAAATTCTCTAGAGCTCTTGAACTTGAAACTTGAATATGAATTGTGTTGTTTTCACCTTAGGGAGAGCCCCTATTTATAGATGTTGGGAGAGAGAGTCTTGGAAAAGAAGACTTCAATTTGATTGATCCATAATTTCCAATATTATCTCTTAATAATTATTTAATGAGATAATTAGGAGAGAGAGTCTTGGAAAAGAAGACTTCAATTTGATTGGTCCATGAATTTTCACTTATTTATCTCTTTAATAATTATTAAAAGAAATAATTATTTATTTTACTCTCTAGAAATGACATGTGGCATTCTTTAATTGGACTTCAAAATATATATGTGGCATTCTTTAATTGGCCAACAATATATATTAAATAATCAATTAATTAACTATTTAATTTAGGAATTAAAATTTGATTAATTTTCCAAATAAAATAGAAAATTATTAAATTGACTTTAACATGGAATTTGACACTTGTCGTCATTTTATTAACTCGAAATTTAATTGCCAACAAATGCCCCCTCGAGACTTGTTCACGGACGACGCGTCTTGGAGTGAATAAGTCCCGAATTTTGATTTGATTTGGACTTGGGACACATGACGAACTTGAGGGCTTAAGAGAAAACCAAGTACACCTTTTTAGCATCTCAAATGACTCATTATTTCCCCACTTTGGATATAATATGGCATCTCAAATGGCCCATTATTACTTCTCTTTGGATGTAATTTAAACATGGCCCAAATACATAAAGACAATCAAGTCAAGGTGCTTACTTGGAATTAAGCCCAAATAAGTGATTAATTGTTTCCCAGATCCCATTTCTCATAGGAAATTTCGTACAGTTGCCACGAGAAGGAAAAAAAAACTACTTAGGCCCACTTAAATAATTTCCATGGGGAGATGGGCCTATATGTTGCCATGGTCCACGCAGCCCAATATACTCCTCGGCAATCTTGAGCGGGATTTCAATTCCAGCGAAATATCAGTCTATCAACAAATAGACACATAACTTCCATTAGGAAATAAAGTCAATTTAGGAAACACATCCCAACTGAAATATCACTATATCAGTTTTATTCTTCTCCTCATCAGACTTCTCAACCCTTCCAGAAGCTTATGCAATAGGTAGGACAACCCTTCTGTTTTCGACTTATGATCATAAGAGGTCTTCAAGTACTCAAACTTCTAAGACTCTAAAATTCTTTATCAACTATAAAACTCAAACTTTCCCTATTCACCCGGGTATTGAGACGTTCGTGAGGATCTATAAATAGGCCTCCTCGGGATGTTATTTTTTTCACATCTTAAGGCCGAAAACAGGTAAGTGTGGCTTTCCTCTATGCATATTCATCCTTTCGCTCTTCTTCTTTTCTGGAGCCAAGATGTTGCAGCTCTTTTTTTTTTTTTTTGCTTTGTTGTATTCATGTTGCTGCTGCTGTCGCAATTTTGGATCTCTTACATTAGAGAGAACACCTACATTCATCCCCCAAATTTTCTGACCTCGAGGTGCTCGATCAATTGCCCAAGGTAACAACATATTATTTTTCAGATGTTTTTCATTTTATCTTCTTTCTTTTGCTGCAACATGTTGTTCGGAAAGTTTGTATGCTACCCGAAACGCTCGTATGGATGTTTGATTGCTTTCGGGGCTGTTTGGGATGAAACGTGGCTTTTCGGGAGCCGTTCGTGCTCAAATGAAGCTCTCTTGCCGCTGTTTGAGAGCTATCGGGGCTGTTCGAGAGCTGTCGGGCTGAAACGGGGTTGTTTTGGAGTTGTTCGAGTTGAACCGGGGCCGTTTTGGAGCTGTTCGGGCTGAGCCGGGGCCGTTTTGGAGCTGTTCGGGCTGAGCCGGGGCCGTTTGAGGGCTGTTCGGGTTGTTACGGGGTTGTTTTGGCGTACTCGAGTTGCTGTCCAGACTCCACGAGGGTTGTTTGGGAGCTGTCGAGATTGAAACGCGGCGATTCGGGAGCCATCCGGCTGAACCAAGACTATTTCGGAGCTGTCGGGCTGAAGCGAGGCGATTCGAGAGCTGTTCGGGCATGGATCTTGAAAGCGGCCACAACCAACTCAACTCAACGAGAGATGGAGTTACTGCCGACGCTAAGACAACATTCTCAAAGGCCAAACTGCACCGAAGAATCAAGCTTGTCGCTCAACATCATAGCGCATCTCAAAGTCCAAGCTGCACTGAAGAATCAACATTGCCGCACAACATCAGGTTAGGACGACACATCTCACCGGCCAAGCTGCACGGAAGAATCAACCTTGTTGCACAACATCAACTTAAGACAACACATTTCACCGTCCAAGCTGCACGGAAGAATCAACCTTGCCGCACAACATCAACTTAAGACAACACATCTCACCGGCCAAGCTGCACGGAAGAATCAACCTTGCCGCACAACATCAACTTAAGACAACACATCTCACCGGCCAAGCAATCATACGCCAACTCAACTTTCAGGACTGTGCATAAGTTCAATTCACGAGTAATCATCACCAATGATTAAACGAAGTGGAGAGACAACATGGAGACACAAGCCATCACCACAATCATGACTTTCCATCACACATTGCCGAGACAAGATGATATCAATCAACACGACGTAGACAACAAGCCCTTCCGAAAGACAGAAAGACTTCTTTAAGCAACTTGAAACCACACCAACTCATTTGATCTAGATAACATGGATCAACATGATATGAACATCCTTCAACAAAAGAAGTACTTTGTCACTACCTACTTAACACATCATTAATGGACAAAGATCATAAACCAAATCAACACCACATAGCAGTTAACAGTTCAACAAGATCTTTTAGCATGTAGTAACTCATCAACGCATAGCAGTTAGCCAGATAGTTGACATGGATCAATCATTATATGAACGATTTAGATCATGGAGATATGCCATACGAAGTTCAAAGACATAAAACTTATTTGTCAAAGATCATGGACAAACCTTCTACCACCAACAAGCTTGTGGAGTAAAGTGAGTTTACACAATACCGACCGAAGATCTAAAGACATGAATGAAGAATAATTGAGAAGCCGAGCCAATATGAGGGATCAATTCCAAGACATAATGTCAT